ATGAAAACGTGTTTTTTTTTATTTGTTTTATAAGTATCGTATATTTAGAATATAAGAGAAATCAAGAGTTAAACAAAGTACAATTGTTGGAAATAATCATAAAAAAATATGTAGAGCAGAAAAATAAAACAGATTAAATGATTAACATATATAGTAAAAATAATAATAGAGTCAATCTGTTTATTCAATAATATAAATGATATATATCATAAATGTAATAAAATAAATCAATAAAGGAGAGTGAATGTGACATCTTGACAACCGATTTTCACATTTCCAAAAAAAACATTTTTTTCTTTCTTATTTTTTCATCTTATGTTTCATTAAGTTTATAATTTTGCTCTGTGTTTTCTCTTCTCTCTTTTTTTTTTTTGTTTAAATTTATCTAATGATAAAGCGATTGAATATTATCGCCGAAAAAAAGTATAAATTGTGTAAATATGAAAAAAAAAAATCCATTTGTTTCTAACGTCATTTGATCAATCGCTTGAAACATTTCTGTTTGAATAAAAGCTAACACATATATAAATGACGTGATATGCACACAAATCGGATAGCGCGTACGTGTATGTGTTTCGAGTTCGATGCCAATTTTAACTGAGAGACAAGATACACATATTCGAATGTTTTTCAAATGCGAAATTAAGAGCAACTATATTTAAAAAATAAAACGAACAATCGAAACAAGCTGCCGTGAATTCGTAAAAGTGCAACATTCCAACGTTAAAAAAAGGCATCCACATTTCTGTATTTCGTGTTTAGGCATTTGTACACGTCGCGCATACCAAACGTACATATATATTGGAATATTTTGGCCAATCATGTGTGCATATCATCGTGGGTATACATATATCTCTTGTTCCTTAAACATGTTCATCGTTCATAATTTTCTTTTAAGCCAATAAAAACTTAAATTTATTTAAAAAAAAAAGATATATAAATTTTGATTTACGTTTTCAATATTGTTGTTTTTGTTATGTTTTTCTTGATAAAATATAAATAAAGATGAATTAACGCCAATACTCAAGCCCTTGCAACCCTCAAATAATACAGAGATGCAGATTTTTTTTCGTTCAAAGGTGTTGCTTGAGTATTCGCGTTCATTCGGAATTTTGCCAGTTTTTTTTTTGCTTTCATTCATATCTTTTTTGTCTGTCACCTTATTTGGCAATCAACGCAAATAATATTGTTCGAATTTTTTTTTTGCATTTTTTTTAAAATGTCATTTTGTTTTTTGTCTGCGTGTTGTCTTCTTAGTAAATAGTTAATTAATAGTTTTAGCTCATGATCTACTTTATAAGTTTTCGTTTTTATTTTCTTTTTGTAGTAGTTGTTCTTTTAAATCATTTTTTTCTGTGACATTGTTCCTTATATATTTTTTTTTCGCTGGCATATGAATTTCATGCTAGACGCCTGTGTTGCTGTTGTTGTTTTTTTGTCGTAAGAAATGTATCTAATTTTAGGTTATTCATTAGAAATATACTAATAAGATTTTCTCATCCGCAGCGTTTCATTATTAACATGTGTATTGTTGTGTGAAAAAAAGCGCTGAATAATGAAACTAAAGAATTAATTGCCTAGTGTGTCTAAAAAAATCAATACATTTTCCCCGTTGTATTTTCTACAAAAAGTCCATTCACCTTTATTTAAACTGACCAAAAATTAACAATATCTTTCGCCCACATTTACACTTATAGATTCTCTCTTGTATTCTCTACATTTATATAATCATAAGACGATCATGGTGCTGGTGTTCAGTTTAATTTTTAGTATGATTCATGTCGCTTGTTTTTAATTTTACTTGGAAAACTACAATTCTGACCATCCATATCCTAATTTATCCTTTTCAGAGCAGTCGATCACGCATATATAAAAGTACCAATTTTGAAAGGAAATATAACACAATCACTTTTGACTTTTTACATTCAAAATTATTCACGAGTCGAACACCAACAACGATCGATTTCTTTCTTCTTCTTTTTTAAATTTGTTCTTACGTTTGGAATATCAATATGTTATGCCCAGTTTTTGATCAGTTCGCAACAAGTGCCTTGTTCAAATGATTCAAATATAAATGTGTTCTTCATTACTTTTTTCTCATTTTTTTTTGGAAATATAGTCTACACTTTAACACATTAACGCTCTAAATATGTATATATAGTAAATTTTAATCAAATAGTCCGTATATCAATTGTTAGGTGTAATAATAGTAAATGCATAAGTAACAAATATCTTCTTTATTTATTTATTCGCCGCCCACCGTATTTCAGTTGTTGTTGTTTTTTTCTATTCGTATCCCATATTCAGTACTAATATTTTGTGTATGTGTATTGTATTTTTTTCGCTATATTCTTACGGCTAAAATATAGGTCATCATTTTATCGTTCATAACAATTACTGAATGTGCTTCTTTTAATCTTCTTCTTTTTTTCTCATGTGTTAACTTGCATTTTGCAACCTAATGTGGGCTTGTCTTTTTGTTCACTTGAATTTGTTTTTTTTTTGCGTACCGATTGATGGTGACTTTCACATGTAAATACCTTTCCCAATTCTACCGAAATTTTGCCCTTTTTCCCTATAATCTTCCGAATTCAATAAAGAAAAAATCCTTTCAAACACACACAATGCGGCTCATTTATTATAGGTCGAATACTAGTACTTTGATTTTAATTTCAAATCGGTTGTCATTTAATTTCGTCGTCATTTTTGTCGATACGCTATTTTCTGTAAATTTTTGTTGTTGTTGTTGTTCCTGTTGTTAATGTATAGGCTTAGGTAAATGTGTTCAGTTATTATCATTATTCATAATTCAATAGTATAATATAATTGTTTAAGTTGGTTTTTGCTTCATTCATTTTTTTTCTCGTTATATATATATATCTTTATTTATTTATTTTAAGAGTCTTGTTTATATGTTTCCTTTATGTGTCTTGCTTGATTTTCTGTATAAATCAGTTTTAGAGTTATACTAATATCCTCATATTAATTTACATATATAATTAATTCAGCTTTGTTCAGTTAGTTTTAATTTTCGTTTCATTTTCACTGTATATATGTATAAAATGCAGGTGAATATGAGTCTGAGTTGTGTTGTCGTCTAGCTCTATTTGATTCCTATTTTCGATTCGTTTGGCTTCATTTTACTTGGTTTCTTTCATATTACGTGGTTGTTGTTGTTGTTATTGTTTTAGTTGTTGCTTTTTATTTATTTATTTCATATACTTCGTATTTAAACTAATTTTCTGTTTGAAAGAGCACAATGAATTTTGTTTTTGTCATAAGCACGGACTACTATACTTGTTAAGGGATACAAATTTCGGTACGTTTCACCATGGAAAGCATAATGGAATAAGGCAAATTATGTGCACACCTTTCGAATTGTGTGGCTTTCTGGATGACTAACACAAAACATGCTCTCTCTATTTTTCACTTGATTGACAATTTCTTTTCAAAATAATTTCGGTATAAATCCAAAAGAAACGAAGACATGACACTTCTATTTCTTTAAAAATGACAATTAAATAATTCGATGCGACAGAGAGAAAAAAAAACAAAGTATTTGTTCATGCAGTTATATCTGGTACTAAGATGATGATGATTGAGTTGTGGGGGGAGAAGGAGGAGGGGTAGTTCATTTTTTGTTCGTTAAATCAGTGCAAATAAAAAATAGTTGTTTCATTTTATTAGGACTATTGTATTAATTAGCGTATGTGTTGTATACATTTCATACCAATTTGTTATTGTTATTTTGATTTTGGTTACCCTGAGTTGAACTGTCTCACTATTTCTTTTCGTCGTGTATTTTATGTTATGTAAATTCTCATATTCTTTCATTCTGTTCAGTGCTTCTCGTTTTTTTTTCTATTGCTATTGTTTCTGGTAAAATCGTTTGTCTATCGCATTCGTACAAAAATCAACAACCGATTTGTCCAAAATATTTTTAAAAATGAATGAACAAACATCAATAAAAATGAACAAATAAACAAAAAAAAATCTTTCTATATATAAAAAAACTGTGCAAAAAAGAAGAAAAATCAACTGTTTTCACTTTGTATGATTTCGTTATGTATGCTTCAATATGAAATTCATCTATCGAGTAGGTACATCATACATATTTTTTTCTCATTCACTACGATTACGTTTCACTGTCTTTAACATTAATTCTGAGGTTAATAATTCATAGTTTTGAGGCTACTTTGTTTGTGAGTAATGCATATTATTTACGTATCGGTTGCATTTTGTATCATAACTTTAATTTTGGTTCAAATTTCCCTTCTTGTCTGTTCTCAATTAATGAGCATGCATGTGGATTGTTCCTTGTTCCAAAGAATTGAAAAAATATCTATATATAAATTTTATATCAACACAACATCATCGTGTGAGGAAACACGAATCACTGACGCGATTCGCTATCAAAAAATCAATCATAATGTACTCTCTCTGTGTGTCTCATACGAGAGTGTGTGTGTGTATGAGAGAGAGAAAAAACAACACCCTGCTATATTCCATGAACAAATAATATAATAATAATCATAATAAATTGAAGGAAAAAAGAAGAAGATGATGAATATTCTCCCTTTAGTTTGATTTTTTTTCATTCAATTGAACTAGTTACTAACGATAAGAAGATCATTTAACCGTAAATCATTAAATCTTAGATCTATAATTATTTGTCTCTATTCTCTCATGAACGTATTTTTTTGTTAATATTTTGCTTGCTTAACGCGATTTCGGCAAGTTGTAAATTAGAACCCAATAATATATAGCGTAAACAAAAGGAATATTTCTTGATCAATTGCTCTCTCTACTTCTATCTCTTGTAAAAAAGATTCGCTTTAACAGAACAAAAAAAAACTCTTTCTCTACAATCTTCTCTAACATCTTAATGAGAACAAAAAAAAGTCGCATAAAAATGTTTGTTTGTTTATGTATGTAAATGTATGTGTGTGAGGACGAGGGGAACAAATACTATCCCAACCGAAAATATGTTGAGAATCTGCTGCAGTTATTCGAGTATTAAATTAGAATTTTTTTATTTACATACGTAGTACAATCAAGATCAATTGATAACCATGAAAAATAATCGATTCAAAAAAATATGATCCTTTTTTCTAAAAAGCTCGCACCAATTTTCATTTTATGTTTTTTCTTTTCTTCACATTTCCTTACGAGAAACAATTAGTCAACACTACGGTCCTGTATTTTTGTCATTATATAAATTTTTTGTATCTTCAATTGCTGCAATTATTATTATTCTCTCATTTTAATTTACGATTTTTTCTCATTTATCTTTGCCTGCCTTTCTCACATATCACTAAATTTATGATATAATAATTGTCTTGTGTATCAAATGTGTTTGTGTGTCTGTGTTGTTTTAAATATATGTTTGGGTACATACTTACTACGAGTCTGAGCAGTTAGCAAAAAAAGGTCTACAAACACATAAAACAATTAGGTTTCGCCCAGCGCCAAAAAGGAGATACATTAGGTGATGCGTTTGAAGCGACGTTGTTTCATTGATTGTTACATTTGCTGACGGCTCAACGGATGTTGAATGTGATGAATTTGGATTTGTTGCGGATGCAAGTTCAAATTAAGCAACGGCGATTGCGATGTCAACATATGAGGCAAATGATGAATTTGTTGTAGATGCGGATTCAGCTGAAGCTGATTTGTGCTTGGACCCGGATTGTATTGGAACTATTTTGGTTTGAGACCCAAATGAAAATATCGTTGTGAAAAATGGACGAAAAACGAGAGAAAAAGAAAAGAAAAGAAAACACAACGAACGTTGATATAAATATTTTATCATTTGGCACAAATATATTGTGTGCTGGTTCAATTTAAAACTTAAAGTTGAATGAGAACATCTTATAAAACATTCACAAAAATAAATTAGTTCCTTAAAAATTATATGAGATAAAAGAAGTGTTTGAAAAAAACTTACCGTATTGATAGCGATCGGCTGTGGAGGTGGCTGATACTGTTGAGAATGAAAATGGAAAAAAAAGAAGAAGAAAAACCAAATGTAATTAATATATAATTGAATTATTTAAGTCAAAAGGTACATTTGCAAAACAAAATGTCAAAGTCAAAGATTGAAAATGTGCCTGGCCACAATAATACTTATGGAAAATAATCAATAAATGTATGTGTGCCTACCTTTTGTTGATGTTGGTGTAATTGGATGACATGGTGTTGTTGTGTGTGATCAAGCTGAATAGTTTGCGGCTGTTGATGTTGTTGCACCTGTGACACTTGCGCTTGATGTGGCTGTGTAGTAATATGATGTGCTTGAGTAGTTTGGGTAACAGGAACCGATTGGTGATTCTGAATTGTCTGTTGTGTATGTTGTTGTTGTTGCTGCTGCTGCTGTTGATTAACTTGAGCCTGTTGATTTGACTGCTGTTGTTGCTGTTGCTCATTTTGTGACGTATTCAATGCATCAGTCGAACCATTTGTGTCGAATTTACCGCGTTTGAAGCGTCCATATAATGAACTATACGGCAAATTGTAATGAATAGCTGCCTGATTGACAGACATTTGACCCAAACGAACCGATTCCAATGCTTCCAGCATAATATCCTCTGACCATGGTGTTGGATTTGAACGTGACAATTCAATGCCTTCACGTTTACAACGACCGTACAATGTACCAGTTGGAATGCCAAATTCAGCGCTTGCTTTTTGCACCGATGTGTGGCCACCACGAATTGCCTCCAGTGCACGTTCTAAATCTTCTGGTGACCATGTTGTTGGCGCTGCATTGAATGGTGCTGCCAAACGAATGCCCTCACGACGGGCAATTTTATAGAGAGTCGAAGATGGAATGCCGTATGCTTTCGATGCTTTATTTGCCGATATTTGGCCGGTGCGCAGAGCGTTCAATGCACTATTCAGTGAGTCTTCGTTCCACGATTTGGTTGGGCCATCTTTTTTCGGTGTATCAATGCCAAGACGATGAGCACGTTGCCAAAGTGTGGTCGATGGAATGCCATATGTCATGGATGCCTTTGTTAAGCTCATATTATGGCTGCGCAGGGCTTCTAATGCCGAATCCATATCTTCTTGTGTCCAAGTTTTTGGACTATTTTGTGAGCTCTTTTCATTTTGTGATGTCAAATTAGTGTATTGTGGCGATGAACGGTCTGACGATGATTCATTCATATTGACAGCGTCCTCGCTAGTATCTATTACAAACAAAATGGATTCGCAGAAATTTCAAAATTAGGTTATAATTTGTGAGAAACACAATGAATGTTTAATAATGATAATAACAATGATTGATGATTCACGGTGTGACACTAACGTGCTTTTGGCAAAAAAAAGACGCTATTCATTTGAACACGACAACTTAAAACTAAATGAAATGTAAACGTGTGCTAATTTACTTACCCATTTGATGATTTTTCGCTTGCTTGGATTTCTTGCTTTTCTTCGGTCGTGTCTCTTGCTTCACGATACTTAAGTCGATCTCGTGAGTACCTTGCGACTGTGGCTGATGCGGTGTCGATGGCTGTGAAGGCATTTGCTGGTTGTGAATTTGTTGGACTTGCACTGGATGATGATTGTTATGGGATTGAGCGGAAATTTGTTGGAAATGATCGATTTGCATCGGTGTCGCATTGTTCGCTTGGGACTGTTGTTGTTGTTGTTGATGTGGCGTCGACGGTTGTGAAGGCATTTGCTGGCTGTGAATCTGATTCTGTGCTTGATTCGAATTGAGATTGTTATGCGGCGAATGTGGCTCTTCTTTGATATTTAGCTCGGGCTCCTGTTTTACCACAACGCCTGGCTCAATTTTGATTAATTGAGCTTGTGGATGGGATATATGATGTTGAATATGTTGCGCGTAAGCCTGATGATTTTGAATTTGCTGCTGTTGCTGCTGCTGTTGTTGTTGTTGTTGCTGCTGCTGCTGCTGCTGCTGCTGCTGCTGCTGCTGTTGTTGTTGTTGTTGTTGTTGTTGAGACGATGGCGGCGGCGGATGGTGCGCATATTGTTGTGTAATCTGTTGATAATGCTCGAGTTGCTGCATCGAATATTGCACTGGCGCCGCACGATTATCAATTTCTAAAGTTTCGGGATCAAGTGAACGGAGCGTTTCAAATTTAATTCGAACATCACCATTTGGCGTTAAGTCTATACGATCCATACCAAAATATAATCCAACATAACACAACACACGAGTTCCAAATTAACCAAAGTCGAAAAAAAAGTTTTTCCAAAAAAAAGAACAAACAAAAATGCATTAAAAACAACAAAAATAAGACAAAACAATATTTGACGAAACAGCAAATTAGCATTATGAAATCATTTTTTCTCGGTCGTTTCTCATGCCATTTGCACTTAAATGCTATATAAGAACTCTACCGATTAACGACTGTATTTATGTGTACGAAAAAAAAAAACAACAGACAGAATTAAAAAGAAAACGACTGTTGCGAGGAAAATGCATAATAACAGTAATAACCATAATATATCAAATAATATCACCACATAAAAATGCACGATAATACGTGTATCGAAATCTAAATCTATAATAAAGAGAAACTACAATACGGCTGGCATTTTAGTGTGCTGTGTTTTTTTTTTTTTTACTTCTTCTTCATGCTGTTGTAGTACGTGTATATTCAACGTATTTATATAGAAAGATATATTGGCTGCCGTTCATGCATTAACAACCATTTATAAGAAAGTTTTACACCGCAAACTTCGACAAACGATGACGACGGCCGCGATGGCAGCGGCGGCAACGACACAATAATAATAAGAAGAAGAAGCAGAGAAAAAAAAGAAATTCAATTGAACGAAATTGTGTATGCATATCGATACAAAATGTGAAACTGATTAAAACTCAATTTCTGATCTAAATTCGTCGTTTGTGAATGCGTTGAAACGATGAATGAAAAAAAAAACCTTAATGAAAAAAAAACTCGCCTAAAGTGGATTGGCGTTTCATTTGCTCTAAAAATGCCATATCGTTGATACACACGGTCAAGTACAAACATGCAAAAAAAAAAAATAATATTCAAAAAGAAATTCAGAAAATACATGTGGACGAGAAAAAACGACTCATTTTTTCTGTAACCCCAACCAAAACTACTTAAGACCAATGAAATTTTTTACAATAGTTTCAACTAAAAAATAGTGGTATTCTACATGAAATCGAATATGGTTACTTACTTGACAAGTCTCTGGCATCGCTAGTCGACGTACAATTAAGATTAACGCTTTCCGTTACTTTGACTGGTGTTGCTGTCGGTGCAGGTGGTTCTGGAGCAAAATCTAAAAATCCCATTGGAACACCAACCATTTTGAAATTCACAATTTTTTTTTTTTAGTTTTAAACTTAATCACACACACACAGTCGTTTCGATACAACACTTAAAAAAATATATGTATATAATCGAGTCGTTTAAAATGAATTTTAATAAAAAAAATTCTTCTTTTATTCAATTTTTCAAAATTTCCATTGATACACTAAACAAAACGCCTTTCGGATGTGTATTTTTTGTTCATGGTATGCATGCGAGGAAAAAACAGGTCCTTTAACTCGACTCTCGTTGAAAAAACTTAAACTCTATTCTTTTTTTCTGTAAATTCACTTCTTTCTGCTGCTTCGTTTTTTTTTTGTTCGACCGTATAATTTGTGTGTATAAGAGGTGAATATCACTCGGTGTGTTTGTGGATGATGATATATGTACAGTGTACAGTGTTCGGTGTATATATGAAGCACACGTTTTTATTTGTGTATAGTATTTGTAATAATTCTCTCTGTCTCACTCTCCGCGTGTCCGTGTGTTTGGCGTACGGTTCGTCAGCGTGTGTACGTATTTATATACATATATACTTATATGTAACGAATGAGAGAAAAACACTGTGTGTATGGGTTACCGCAAATAGCAGGTTAAGTCTTCGTCAACACAATAAATAAAATTTTAACACACCAACATGAAAAAAGTAATTCTTTTCTTTTTTTGTACTGTACACACGTATACACACTTTTATATTGGTAGATGATTTTTTTTCTTCATCTATATATCTATACAAATTCAATTTGACCATATAACCCGAACGAAATGAAAAAATAAATTGAATTTTTCAAACAGTTTGCAAATGAAGTTTTAAATTAAAAAATATTCACATGATTTGTTCGTTTTTTTTTCTTCGCATCAAGCAAAAAAAAGCAATATTTATAAAACACTACACAAAAATTCAAAACGGATAATTGAATGATAAAACTTGGTTAATTTTTTTCTTCTTGTCAGTAGGCCGAAATGAAAAGGATCGAAATATAAATTTGAATCGAATAGATTTTTTAGTTGATGGTGATTAGCTGGCTGTGTATGTCTTCACCGCAACACCTGTAAAACTTCCACTAAAATACACTTTGTAAATATTAACAAAGGCTTGGTGTACTTTTTTTTTGAAAAATGTTCGGTGTATAAAGCATCGGAATGGCGGCTGCTGTCAAGGTCACGACAATAACCGTAAAACTAAAATGAAAAAATACGAAATATCCAAATAAAATGTTGCATACGTTCGATGGCTGGTCGCTACTGCAGCAAACTATAACCGGATAAGAATGGATAAACCGGCACTCAATGTACGCAAACACACATTCATGCACATACACAAACGTAAATCGAACCGAAAAAATTGCTACGAAAATAAAAATACCGAACGAAAAATGTCATTAAGCCGAAAAAAATGGTTCAGGTTGAACGTTTTGCCTCGTACGTAATTGCTTGGAGTGTGGGTTATGGTGTTTATTATATGTCAGCGGTAATATTCGTATTGAATGTTTCGGTTGCATTCTTCGATGACGATTTTCTATTTGTAATTGAATATTTTAAATGTATTTTCTTCTTCTTAAGAAACTATCACTATCAATAATCGGTTCACTGAATTCACTTTAATGAGAAATTAAACTTATTTGTTTTTCTTTATTTTCATCTCTCACTCAAATCAAAATGAACACCACAGCACATACTTATTTGCCAGCCGTTTTGTTGCATTAAATGAATGCCAGGCATAAATAAAGTATTCGATTCGAGGGAAAAATCAATCATTCTAATAATATTTTATTGAAACTTTTCATTGATAATTTCAATCGATAATAATAACAGTAGTAATGAACCTCGTTGTCAACATACATATATTTCATCGATGAAAACTGCATGTATATACATCCTTACTACCATATAATGTATAGTTATCACCCGTCTGAAGTATTTATTAAACTTGATAATAGAAAGAAAGAGGGGGGAGAGAGTGGAATAGAGTGGGATAGAGTGAGATCTGTGAATATCCCGAAATCAAAATCTTTGCCATTCAGTTTTACAGCAAGTTCATGTGTATAAGGAATCGACCGTCGGTCTTTCACCTCACTTATATAATTGCAATATCGCAGTGTTAAACACAACACACGGAATATTCAAATACAAACAGCCAAAAATAACGAACAAAAACGAGCGAGTGCGTAGCTGTGTTAGAGAAAGAGACAAATAATAACGATACAAATGTCATTTCACTTTTCAATTTTGTCTGTTATCTTGAGTTTGCATCTCTTTGTATTGGCACTGAATGCAAAGGTTGTCTACAAGAAAAAAAAGAATTTTATAGATTTCAAATCAATTTCTCTTTTTATTTTAAATTCTAAAGACGAACATGTCAATTGTGCCAATTGTTTTAGTTCATGGAGGCGCCGGCAATATTCCTGATTCTCGTGATCATGGTAAACTCGTTGGTTGCAAATTGGCATTGAAACTGGGGTATGAAAAGTTAGAGTCTGGTGGATCAGTTCTAGAAGCGGTAGAAGAAGCTGTTCGCAGCATGGAATTGGATGAATATTTCAATGCGGGTAATTTTCCATATTTTAATTATCTTATCGAAAGTAATAAACTGTAAAATCGTTTTATTGCCATCTCAACAAGATAATATGTAAACGACTTGAAGTAATTTCAATTTAAATCATATGTTGTTATCGTTTATTCTCCCAAAGGCTATGGATCTGTCTTGAACTACGATGGTGACGTTGAAATGGAAGCAAGTATTATGAATGGTAGTAATTTAAAGGCGGGATGTTGTACTTTAGTGCAAGACATATACCACCCCATCACTTTGGCGAAAGATGTTATGTTGAAAACAAATCATACATTCTTGGGTGGTGTGAGTGTCATGAAATTCGCAAGAGAGCAAGGATTCGAGATATTGCCACCCGGTTCATTGGTCACCGAATATGCCAAAGAAGCACTTGAAGAATATAAACGTAGGCATAAGCTTGGTTTAGATGTTACCAATGCGCCCACTGAAATCGGTGACCGTCGTAAAATTGGTGACGAAGTTGGAACGGTTGGAGCTGTTGCGATCGATAGTGATGGTAATGTGGCTGCAGCCACATCCACTGGTGGAATTACAGGGAAACTACCTGGACGCATCGGGGATACTCCGATACTCGGATCGGGCACATATGCCGATAATGTAATTATTATACTCATTCAGATTATGTAAGAAACATACCTTTATGGATGAAACAAAAATGTTTTCCTCTTGGTTTGATTTGTAGTTAGTTGGAGCCGTTTCAACAACTGGCCATGGAGAGTCAATTATGCGATACAATGTAGCCCAACGTATTCTTCAACGAATGCTACACTTGAAGGAAAGCGCACAAAATGCAACTGAAATTACGTTGCTTGAAATGACTGAACGTGTTTCTTATTCAGCCGGTGCCATCACTCTTGATACAAAAGGTGATGTTGGCATATCATTTACTTCTAAAAAAATGGCCTGGGCCTATCGTAAAGGAAACAAAATCCACAGTGGAATTCGGCACGGTGACAATTTCATTGAAGATGCCTGAAATTGCTCTACACAATAATAATCAAAATATTTTACGCAAATGTATTCAAGGTTTTTGGGAAGTATTAATAATTTTGGATTGATATATTCGAGATTGATATATTCTCGGATAATTTATATCCTATTTCATGGAAATAATTGCGGTATCAAGTGTTAACAATAAAATATACAAATATACACACAACGAAGTAATAATAAATCGTGCATTGAATTCTTTTATTCTAAAAATGTCTACTATTATGCTAATTTTCATTTTTCTTACCTAAACCTACAGTCAAAAGGATAAAATATAAATTCAATTTCATAAAGTTTGTTACAAGTATTTTAAATTATATAAAGCACACTATTTTGGTCAGTTGTCGCGCTGTGATTCATGCGCTTCAATGTAAGCATAACAGAACTTGGTCTCTGGATTTTTGTATTGATTTTCGTGTTGAACGGAATGTGAATCTGTTCGACATTTTGCTAAACATAGTTCGAATTGATCTCTAACCGTAGCAAATAGGGCAGTTTGACGGCCAGAAGCCAGTTCCATTGCTTTCTCCAGAATTGGTCGCTATTTTAAAAATGGACATTTTTGAAAATATCAAATGTTTTTGTGAAAATATAAATTCGATTTGCTTCTGAACATGTAACATACTTTATCAGGACTCAAACAACAGCTAACACATTTTTCATAGACAGCACAACACCCTTCTGACTCAGTGCATGTATCACAATTATACTGAACATTTTCATTGGAATCACAGCATCCATTACTCAACACATTACTCCGAGAACAGACATAACCCTCTTCATCAACGAGCAGAGTTTTCCCTTGCACCGAATTTCGACATCCTTTTGATTTTCCACCATTCGTTCCATTGTTTATTGGGTCTTCACGCCAAATTAGCGGTTGTTCTCTTTTATATGTAATTTCCTCAATGTCTTTATAACTATTGCCACTCTATAAATGGATGTGCAGAAAAAAAATGTGTCATGTATAAAAAGATATGAGACGCAGGAAAATGAATAATTTGCAAACTTACATTTCCCCACAAATTGACCAAACAATATGTCAATGACAACAAAAATATAATGGTCAGAACAATACGTCGGCGTAGTATGCGAACGAGTGCAGCATACCACATTGTATAAAAAAATACACACAAAAAATCAACGAATTACGCAGTAGATTGTATGGCTACGGTGAATTCATTTCGTCAAAGCACACAATTAGTTTCCACATAAAGTGATGGCTAAATTGGTTCGTAACCAAATCTCTCCCATCTGGTTCAATTACTGTGGCCAGTGCATTTCCTGGAATCGGATGGGATGTGTGCTGGTTTTTTTTTCTTTCTTTTATTGTATCAGATAGCGTTTACGTCAAAGTCATGATAAAAACAAATGTTACAAACAAACATTAAGTTGTTTGCAATGATGATATTTGGTATGAGTGGAAAAATGAGATATTTTCAATGAAAATTTACACAAAACCATATTGTTGTTTTCGGATTTTCATTAGAAACAGGTGGTTCATTTATTTTGCAGTAAAATCGACATTTTTCTTCGATAGAAGTCATGAATTATTCGATTATAAAAAAAGTCGCTGTGAAATGTTTTTAAAGTCAGCTGTAACATCAATGGCAATCCCAGAATTGATTAAAATGAAGTTGTCATTGCGCTAGAAAAGTTGCCACCCGGCGAAAAGTATCTCATCGTTTCAAACAAAAACACAGTCTCGTGTTTCAAATGTATCTCTTTATTTTTGGCTTTTCATTCAAGTAATTTAAATTTTTATCCAATTTCAATGAGGTAATTCGGTAAAACAACCAAATTCGTAATTATACCAATCAAGTTTGAATAAAATCAATGTGAAATAAAAAAATAGTTATTAAAATTGGTGATATGCTTTGAAAATAAAGCAATTACATGTTTGCTTATTCGCTGCTGGCTCATTTTCCAACGTGAAGTTGGTTGCTTCAATTGTGCACCCGACACACTAGACATACACACAAATACATCGAAATCATACTGTGAGCAGTACAAATACACGCAGGCAATACACATTGCGCTGCCCAGTTCAATGTTGGATTTTCACTATTCGCCTGCTGTGAGTGTGTAGCCCATACACTTCCAATGTTACAAATGTACAATTTTTATATACGGTCGCATCATTTGTAAACTTGTTCACAAGCTGTGAGTTCGTATTCAATATGGCGGCGTTTACAAAGAACAAAGTCGAATAATTTTGCAGCCGTATTAACGTTGATGTTGTTTTCATGACAATTAATTCGCTAGAAAGGCTATCGTTTTGGCCGCAAACATATTAATTAAGAGTTTCGCATTAATGGTAATGCATGCTAGAAAACCACAACGTTTGAACGATGGGTAAATATCATATCAACCTATATATAAACCACTGTATCCACATACGCACTTGGGTGAAAATTGGAATGAAATTCATTATATTTTTCGTGTGTAGAGTTCATGTATAGAAAGAAGAGAAAAAAAGTTTCGCCTTAATTTTTTTTTTCTTGTCATTTCACCATTTTTCACACAAACTAAATGTACGATTCTGTCGATACTCGTAAATTTTCGAAAGTTTATTTTTATTTTCCATTTGTTTTGTCAAAATTGCATAAAGAAAATGTGATTATTCAATTTGACGAATTTATTTGTGGCAATTTTACATTCTCTGAATGAATCAAAGTTGAATTTCATCGCCAATTCAAAGTCATTTTTTTTTTCTTCCAAAAAATTCATTTCAAAATATTTTCAATGGCTCTTTTTTCGTCTCATTTCAGGTACTTTGAAAAGCATCAATCCCATCCTTATCAGGTAACTAAACGAATTTTTATTCCACTCTCTTTCTGTCACAAAACATACATACGAATGTATCATTGGCAATATTCACACACAAAAATAACTAATGTGTGGTGATTTTTCGAAAATGAAAAATTACCAATTCATTTCGGTTGAAATGCCAATGTTTATGATAAGTTTGCTTGGGACATTTGCATTAAATTCGTTCGAAATAAGCAAATTACATACAGAAAATTATTTCGTACTTTTTTTTCGTTCGTCTCAACGACGTATAATAAGTATGATTGTGCTTGGCTGTCAATGCTGTGTACAGCCCAAAATGAAAGTTTAACTGAACTCTCGCGATCCCATTAACCAAAAGCCAAAACACACGTAGACCAAACGCCTATTGGGAAATAGTTTCACACAAAATTCTCACATTTATCGAGTCATTTATTGAATAAGCAATATTTATATCATTAAATTTTAATGAAAAATGCACAGACATCATACGTTTCGTTCTCTATGTGTTTGACAGTACTCTGCGTCATTACGCGAGGGGTAATTGAACCAGTTTTCTTGATATTTCTATTAAATTATCCAGTCCATGTTTGATTTTATACTGCCTTTTCGCTCAAAATTGACATTTATCTGCACCCCATACATTTTTATTGGGTCAAATTACGATTTTTGATGAAAAATCACGTAAATCAGTACAACAGCGTCGAACGATGGCTGAAAAGAGAGGTTATATTCCATCGCCAATTTCTTTTTAATGATAATGAAGCAAGAAATTTCTTGGTTTTTTTTTTATGTTTTCTTCGGTACTAACATTGAAATGCACAATTTTGAGGCACGTAAAATGATTTTTTTCTACGATTTTTACGTTTACATATGAGCTTATATTGTACAACGAGGTCAATGGATTTTCCAAGCAGACGCTGTCACTTTTTACTCTTTAATCCGATACTTTGATCAAATGTTCTTTGTGATTTGGCTTTTAAATTCACATTTTGTTTTAAATATTTGCGATAAATAGAAAATAATTTGAATTTGGTTGGTTTGTAATAAGTATGGAACGAAAAAAAACGAAATTTTATATTGACAAAGCACTTGATACGAACCTAGCTAAAATCTAAAACCACCACTAACAAAGATGAATTTCGATCAAATTATCTGTACATTTCTTGTGATGAAATCCAATTTGTACGAATTCCTGTACAATTTTTATTTTTGATGACGATAAAATTGACCGAAACACGATAACAACGTTTCAATTAAACGACTTGAATTTCGTATGCATATTTATCGTTTCTTTTTGTTTGTTTGTTTTTTAGAGTTCGAAATATAGTTCCAAGAACCGGGACTATGAACGAGAGGCTAGCAGTAGGTCAACAAATTATATACGCGGCAGCGAACGTGATTTGTCGCCGAGCAGTAATGTGCCAAGTGGCGCATTAAATGGTAGTTCATATCGTTCAGATTCGCCCGATTTGGATTCGCCGCGTGATAGTCGAGACCGTTCGGATCGTTATCAAAGCTCTAGTTATATAAAAATTAAAGACCGTGGTAGAAGTGATTATAAAAAAGAAAAATATATAGACAAACGTGATAGAAGAGATCGGGATGCTGAGCATCGAACGAACCATGATCGAATCGAGATGTCTAGCAGCAGTCGACGTTCTTCGAAACTCAGTAAGTACATTTTGGTCAATTTCATTCACATTCAAACATTGCATGAAATCGATGAATGACTGGAATATCACTGAATGCCCTTTGAATATTCAGTTAATGAGTAACAATTAAATCGATTCACAAAGAAGCGTTTTGCGCTTTATTCATTTCATTATTGAAAACAATCATTAACAACCCTAAGTCAAAGGCAACAAACATTAAAATAGCCATTCATTTGATTTCATAACATTTTTGTATGGTATTCATTGAAATGGTTTTTGTTCCGATAAAATTAATGAATGGGCATTTATTTTCGTACAGTGTACCAGCCATCAGACAAACGTTCAGGTTCAAGAGAACGTGATCGGGATCATCGTGACAGAGGAAATGGGAGCAATAACAACAGTTCAAGTGACCGAATAAGTCGATTGTGTGACTGGAGTGAGCATGTCAGTTCGTCTGGTAAAAAGTATTATTACAATTGTAAAACGGAAATTTCACAATGGGAAAAACCGAACGAGTGGCTGGACAAAGAGGATAGGTAAGTGCGCACAAAATTGGTGTTGAGGGCGAGACTGAATTCTGAATTAATTCGCATTTCTTTTTCGATAGGATGCTATCAAAAGAACAGCATAGGGAATACAGAGATAAAGAACGGGATAGAGACAGAGAAGACCGATTTGCTCGATCTTGTAAGTTTGAGAATCAACGTGATGATTTTTCACATGATCCGATGTGAAATTGAATATATTTTCGAAATAAAATGTTTATTTTCTCTATTCACAATTCGCAGCATATGCTAAGCATTCCAGTTCACGGAACTCCCGACTAAGATGGCCACATGATTCAGACAATGTACAAAGCCATCGGAGGCGTACCGAAGGTAATTTTACAAACATTTTTGTCCATGCATAACTTTTTCACACGCTATTCTTTTGTACAATTCAGCAGACAGTCAAGATAATATGGACATCAGTCCAGGTGATTCAACTCCAACATCGGAGGCAAGCTATTCGCATTCAAGTACACCAAATGCGCAGCCACAAAAAATCGTCGATGGTCCAGTATTGTTGGCGAATGCCCGATTAGCATCGCATCCCTCAACGCCGAACAATGCACAGCTGAGTTATACAACGTCATCATCTGCTTGCGCTATTAATACTTCATCGTCATCTAGTTCTGGTAATAATTTAAATTAAAACAATAATTTTTATTAATCGTCAACCACATCCGCGCATCATCTTGAAAGTTTGTGCTTTCGATGCTTTTGATTCATTTCCGTTGAACTCTGTATTTTTAATTAACTTCGGCACTGAGTCCGAAAATGACACGATCTATTAAACGTGCATATATAGTAAAGAATATGTCAACACATTGCATTAAAGTGAATCCGATGGTTGGAAATACAATTTCCGCACATCATGTCGATGTCGATGACGATGAATGATGTAATTAAACATTAAAGTATAAATAGTTAAAAGTTTTTAAAAGTTGGTTGTCATCGCACATTTTCCATAAGAAAAAAATAATTTTAATGATTTCATCTTGAGCCACAAAACCAATGAACCATTTATCGGTATATAAATCATGCTAATTATGTTCGTTTTTTTCTCTTTTTCTCGCAGCATCAAAATTAAACAAAAATTCAGAAAGTAATTCACTGCACAACTCAAATCTGCCTACATCATCTCCTTCGACGGCCCTGATACACAGCGCCAATAGCACGACTAGTAGTAACAGTAATTTAAGTAATAATCACAGTGGTCAACATAATTCAGCGTCGCTATCATCGTCGCCGTCGTTACCAGTAACGTCATCAAAAAAGAACCATCATGCTGACAAATCGATGGGTCATTCAAATGATTCAGCTCAACATTCCGGACTGAATAGTTCCGGTTTGGGCGATGGAAATAATCAAATAGCGAATAATAACACTAGTAATTCTTCAAATAGTATAAGAGAACATGCATTACATTCACCGTTGTATAATTTGCCGCACAATTTATCGGCTCTTAATCATTCGAGCAGCGGTAATGGTAGCAACAGTACAAGCGGTCAATATGTGCAATCAAGCATGATGACACCACAATCAACTGGCTTAGGTATTGGCATTTCGTCGCAATTCTCAGCGGCTGGACTAAAGTCTGATGGTAGTAGCACTTTAAATGTCGGCGATGGTCACGGTCCGCCGACACCAACTCAAGAGCTCGATATGACGACTGATCATCGTAAATGTAAGTTCAACAATTATAAACTCATTAAAGTGATGCGAACTTTGATTGTGCTGAATTTTAAATGGATTAATGTGATTTGTTTTCATTCACAGTGGATGGAACATCTGCGTCACTGAGCAGCCTGCAAGGTGTTTCGTCTCAAATGCTTCGACATCAAGGTCCGAGTCTCACACCAAGCTTAGCTAACTATTTTCGTGCCGATTTAATCGCGCATGTTACCAATTGGCCTGCTGAAATGCTAGAGAAACAGGTATGACCATTTTTATGCCAAGCAAAAACTTTTAATTCGATTTTTACTTTTGCTTTCGATCTTACTTTGAACTTCGTTTAACTTTGATTTGATTGGACTTTGTATGCAGTTTCGAAAAGAGTTGAAACTGCCTGAAAACTCGTGTATTCGTAAAGTACAGTAACTTAATATTACGTCCAAAACTTTGGCTTCATAATAGTTATCGACTTCAAAAAGTTTTCCACAAATGATGCCGTCCGCATCGCTTTGTTTGAATTTTATCGATTGCTGAACCAATTACAGTTTTAAGATGCCTTTTTAATCTTGCAAAACACAAACAAGACTTGTGATTTTTAAGTTCAAACAACTTTGATCATTTTTATTCAATTTATATTTGAAGAGAGTTGAACGTCACATTCATTTGTAACACTATTAAATATTGATGTGTGCACGATATTTGAACATGTATTTAATGATGAATATTCAATTTTCAGGCGCAATTGGCATCGGATGAAGCAAACATCATTGGGAATTTACAGTGTACTAAGGTGTCGGCAGATCTAAAATCGGCTCGTAGCGTAGTTAGAATCACAGAAATTACAGCAACACTACAAGAACAAAAGTAAGTTTTTCATCGTAATTATTACGCCCTTCAATTAATTCATTCATTTGGTGATTCAGTTTTCTTTATTTCCTTCGTCACCATTTATCACATTTAAAATTGATGTAATCTTTTTTCTTCAAATTTTCTAATAACGAAAATGTGTTTATTTTCATTTTTCCCCCACAGAGTACTGTACTTGCAAAATCAAATACGACGATTAGAAGAACTCAAATCACAAAATTCATTTATGTCTGAGGATCTATAGCCAATTCGTGTCCGCGTTATTAAATATATAAATATTATACAACATTATTATAATGATAATTATTAAAAACAAAAAAAAAAAACAAAGTAATAAAACAAAGTAATTTACAAACTAGAATACGGAAAACAATGAGAGAAAAAGAAAGAAAGAAATCATAAAAAAAGTGAGAAAAGTGCGAGCATCGCAAAACAACAGAGGAAGAAAAAGAACATAATAATCGATATATAAAAATGAGAGGAGTGTGCAGCAGTGTAACTGGCTACTAACAAATTATCCAAAATCTCTTGGGCAATGTGTGTGTAATGTGTTTCGCTGCTGCTCAAGATGAAAAATTTATAAAAATAGTAACTCTTAACTGCAGAAGAAAACAAAAAAAATGGATAAATCTAATTGTAATTTAAAACATCAACAACACGGAAAATAGTAACATCAACCAAAAGAAAGTCTTTAACATCCACCAAAATATGAATGTAATATGAAATGACCAGTTTCCCATCGGTGGCATTTTGACTCTCCGCATCATGAAAAACAAATAATAGTGGACATCTATCAATCAAGTAAATTTATAAAATCTATTTAAAAACAAAAATGAAGCAGAAAAAAACACTGAAAAATTGCATCCAATCAAAACTACGAACGTATTCGAGACGAACAAAGAAATTTTTTTTTTAAACAAAGTTAAACATGCATTCGTTTGCAATCAATAGACAATTGTTCAGGAAAAGTTTAATTCGTGTTTTGTTGTTAGAAATCAGACAATTCACGTTACTATGAAGTAGATTTCGGTGAAATACATTCACACAATTTTTATCACTAAGAGTTTGATAAACCTTTAAAATCTCTAGAGAGCTCCTATTAATCTAATTTTACATTCATTCGTTTTTTAAGTTAAATTCATCACTCTCACTGGACTATGGAAAAAAATAATTTGTATATTTGGTACAAAAGAAAAAAATATATTCAGTTGAATTTTGTCAATCGTTTTATTAAAGAAATGAGACGTATTTCTTGTATAAATGACTCCATTTCTTATTTTGATTGTTTATTAGCAACTATATTTGATTGTTCTGTGAACAAACCACAACCACTTTTGATGATCTATTTCATTTAATTGTAATTTTATTTTGTAAAATTACTCGGTTTGGAAAATTCATTCATAATACGATTCAAACATAAGGAGAAAAAGGAAAATAAATGTATTCAGCGATGTTTTCATCTAATTGAACGTTTCGTGTTTGCTAATAGAGTTTATATAAAGTGAAAAACACAAACATACACACATCAGATTGTTTTTATTATTTATTTGCATTCATTGAGTATTTAATGTCAAGGGAATGGCAAATATGGTGTTGTCATTTAGAGACAATGGCAGATTTCAAAAAAATAGGATTTAGCTACCAGCTGAAATTGAAATGCATCCAGATAATAAAGATCCACCCAACACAAACTCCATTCTCATCGAAATGAAAGATAGACACTCTCTCATACACACACATACAAATACACACACATAAACAGACCCACGCATTAATCCAAATCGATCACATAAAAGACTTTATAATGAAGAGTTTAGGCGAAATTGATGTTTATGAATTTAATCTAAAAATGAAATCTAGATGCGATATGCAAAACACAACATTAAAACAAAATACGACATAAAAATAGGAATATTATTATTTATTGAAAAAAAAAAAATCCAATTGTTCTGTTCTTTTTTAGAAAAGCAAAAAATAAACTAAACAAGTGAAATGAGGAAAAAATATTCATTAGTTTTAAGGTTTTTTTCCGTTTCCTTCTCTCTTTTTCTCTATTTCTCACACAATAAATACACTCAAATCCCAAAAAAAAGAAATAAAAAACAAAAAATTGACCATAGTGTATTTTTTTATTTTTTTTCTATTTTCGTTTCATTACATTTTTTTGTATACTGCTCGTTGAGACTCTTTTTAACAAATAGAAAACATAGGATTTGAAAATCTTCCGTGGTATCATAGACCAATGGCTATGATCAAATAAATTTCATGATTAATGCTAGATATGTGGCAAATAATAACAAATTTTAATGTTTCTCTCTATCAAATCATTGTTTGCATGAATAAAATCAATTTTAACATTAATATCCAGCATGAACTAATTCGTACCTTGGACCAGTCGATGGAAAATGTTTGTATCCATTCAATATAATGATTAGAGTACATAGAAAATAACAACAATGGCATAAAATAAAAAAGAAACAACTAATTGGTTCATATAATTCAGAGTTTGTTTTCATTTGTTTTTTCGTTAACAGACGAAATTTTTGTTTGGAATTGGCTTTTGAATTTAACTCAACGAAATTTGAGTGGAAATCGAAACGTTCAATAAACAACGTTTGGGATTCATTTAGTTGTCATTCAAATTTATTTGAATTTTATGACTTTATAGATTTTTTTCCATCATTTTTTCTATGCCATTCAGTTTCGGTAAGTAAAAAACCTGGCTTTGCATATCAATGCTACGATAACAAATCTACCGCCATAAATACTCAAACGGTGCATTGTTTAAAAAAGCAGAGAGATTAAAGTCATAAAATGTATTCATGTTTCAAGTAAAGTATTCTATTTCCAAATGTGCACTCAAGAACGTCGTTAGCATCTCAGAGAAAAGATACCTTCACGTACATCATTATCCATTGTCTCATTTTCTTCTTCTGCAATGTTATATAGTTTTTTTTGTGGTGCGGGGAAATTCCCAATGTAAACACATTTAAAAATCAAACTGAACTAGAGTGAACGCTCCGTTACTGGCAGTAAAACGTTCATATAGAGGGCGGTGACTGTTATTCACTTTACACAAATCAAGTATATAGCCGGCAACTAGATAGTTGACATCAGTTTGTTTTTGACTCACAAACGATTCATATCGCACTTGTTTTTTTTTGTTATTGTTTTGTCTATGTGTTATTGAGCAACACTTTCATTAATTGTAAAATATTCGTATTTTGTTTTTAAATATAAAAAGATCAAAGAATGCATTGATCATCATCGAATTGTCGTTAGGATTTTATTTTTATTGATTTGACGATATAAATATTTTGAAATTTACAAAAATCAAAACAAACAACAAAAACATCAACGAGATTCAGAACAATGGATACTATACCAAATGGACCGCTTGATGATATTAAAAAATTAGGGGAAATATTGATTAGACGAAATTCAGAAAAAGGTAAAGTTACATATATATTTTTTGCGTCGTTCGCATCGATCGGACACAACGAAAAAACACAAGCTGTTTGACGTTTGATCTAACTGAATGTATGTTTTCAGAATATTACCGATTTTTACACCTCCAAGAACAATGCCGTTTGAAATGGCAGGCAACCACCGATAAATTTGTTCAACTTTTAAAAGAGCATGAACAATGTGTATTGGAAAAACAACGTCTGATAGACACATTGCAGCATGTCAGCTCAATGTGGGAGATGGAAAAAGAAGATCGTCGTGCCGCAGAACGTGAAGCTCAAAATTTTGTAAGTATTTCCATAAGACATTTAAACTTGTCATAATTTGACATTTTTCTGGATTTTCGCTTTAAAAACTCAAGCAAATGGATGTATACACATTATTTTCAAGTAACACTGTTACTATAGTTTGAACACATTTATTAATATTCGACACTTCTCAATTGCATGTCTACTTTGATAGAAACAGACATTGAATCACCTTAAAGAGCTGTTGAAACGTAATGGCAGCCTAGAACGAGGTGATCGACATGAAGAAAAGCGCTCCAAATTCAAAATCGACGAGAAAAGTAATGACGAACTTACTTCGACTGCATCGTTTTTATCTCGTTTATCCGATTTGACGCCAACTGATGAGTATTATCTTGAACAATGCGATGGCATTGTTGGAAGTCATCAATTATCTAAAACGTTTGACAACACAATATTTGCGGAAATTCATGGCAACGAGCATGAAACGAACATGTCAAAGTCATGCGCTACAGATGAAAGCACCAAAACATTCGTAGTCGAAAATAATCCAAACAAAAAACGTGATAAAATTTCCGATGAAAGTAGCGATGACATTCGATGTGAAAATAGTCGCAGAGTCCCACCGAAAAAACGTGTTCGGAAATATTTGCATGCATCAAAAGAATTTATACGGGAGAAACTATCGATACCGAAAGGTCGACGATCACTTGACGCATTATCAACAGCTGAAGTGAATCCAAATCCAATTTACGAGCGCATCGATTCCTCGATTATTTCACTCGATTGTGAAAAAAATTTAAACTACAATTGGGAGAAAAATGCAATCGCACCAAAAGACAATTCATGTGACCTGAACGCAACAAGACGAGAATCAATAATTAATCCAAACAGTTGCACACATACTTTCACACATCGCACAGCATCACGATCAATTATCTGTTTCGTTTGTTCAAAAAAGTAAGTTTTTTTGTTGTTGTTGTTGTTGCATAAAATGATATCTTAATTATGTATATTTATATTTCTAGATTCCGCTTTGGAATGGCGTACAAATGTATATCATGCAGAGTGTTTGTACATCATGACTGCAAAACACATTTGAAAACAACGTCAAAAGTGCGACGAATGTCAAAAGGTGGAAAGCATCCCATTGAACTCTTCGTAAATGATTATGTACCAAAAGATGGTCTAAGCGTTCCAGCGCTAATTGTTCACTGCGTAAATGAGGTATGTTTTGTTAAAAAAAATATCAAAAGCGAATCGATTCATTACAAAAACCGTTATTAATTCGATTAGGTTGAAATGCGCGGTTTATCTGAACGTGGCATTTATCGTGTTTCGGGCAGTGAAAAGGAAATCAAATCACTTCGGGATCGATTCTTTAAGGATGACAGTGTACCAGATTTGGAAAATATTGATATAAATGTGATTTGTGGTTGCATCAAAATGTTTTTAAAAGGTTTAACCGAACCGCTGATTCCGACACGTCTTTGGGCGGTATTTTCTAATTATGTTATGGATTTTGATGGTGATGACAACGATGGCAATATCCAAAAACATCTCCAGCATGAAATAAGTCAACTGCCAAAAGCCAATAGAGACACGCTTGCATTTTTGATTTTGCATTTGCAGAGGTAATTTTACATATATTCGGTGGACGTCCAATGAGCGATTTTTATTAAATTCTAATTTCATTGCAGAGTTGCAACATGTAAAGAAGTTCAGATGCCAATATCAAATTTATCAAAGATATTCGGACCTACTGTAGTCGGATATTCGTCAGCACAGCCAGATCGTGACTCTATTTTATGCGAAACATTCATACAAACCAACGTAAGTAAAAAAAAAATATACCAGAGAAAAAAATAGGTATAAAACATTGTTTTTCTTTTATTTCAGGTCATGCAACATTTCTTGAACATTCCGACGGATTATTGGTTCAGTTTTATCAGTGAAAACTTATATGCTTAAAGAAGCGATACCCACTAATGAAATCTACCTACCAAAAACAGTGACCTTTTTCTTTTCATTTTCATATTTTTAAACAATAAACTGTTTCGAACAATAGGTTTAATTTTCGGATGTAGATTCTCATTCATATGCATCCATTGTGTTATAGTTTAAGACAACCGCAATAAAAAGAAGTCATTACAATGCTAGGACAATATATACATCTTTTTTTATTTATTTTTCTAAACATGAATTGAATCAATACATGCACATTGCAAATCCCTTCTCAATTGTTTTTTTTTTGCATTTTTGCATTCTTTCGATATTCTTGACCTTAATCCCATGTTTAAATAAACATCGTTTCAAATTTCCTCTTTAGAGACGAAAAGTATGCGAAAAAACATTGTTTTTGATGTTTTCATTACTTGTGAGTTTTCGAATATCTTTTTTTTAAATGAATGAAATGCGAAAAGAAATTGAAAACATAAACTCCATGGTTTAAAATAATTTCAACAAACTTTTCACTTGAAACAACATATTCAAAAATATAGCGCGCATAAAATGAGTCTTGTCTTATTCTGGTGTTTATTTTTTATGAAACGTTCAAAAAGATGGCGCTGACATCGTCAACAAAACAAACATGTTGACGTTAGATTGGCAGCACTGAGTTCCAACTGAAATTCATATTCAAACCGTCAATCTGATGTGAGGCGTGCATTACATTGGTGTTAAATGAATATTCATTCTAATTTCAGCTAGCGATTTAGTTTGGACATATTTTGAATCGTATGAACGAAATTAAACAACATAAAAAACATCGATCAATTCAAAACGTTGAAAAGTTTTCAGAAAATTCAGTGCAAATCAAAAAATAGATAAAAATTTACGATTAAGAAATTGAAATCCAGTGCTGTTTGTATTGTCTTCCGTACATTCACGAAAAAAAAACACGAAAAAATTAGTATGCACATTTGATTACCAACAATTTGAAAAATAAAAGAGTGATTGATTTGCAAATAGAAATCATGGAATTATCATTAGTCGCAAGTTTCGATGAGCTGAGACGGTGTCAAGATATTTTGACAGATGGTACAGCTGAAATCGGTAAGTGTAATTTGGCACATATAATGTATGCATTTTTTTTTTGATTGACACCATTTCTCTATGTATAACAAATGTAGAATTTCGTCGTTTTCTACAAATCATGGAAGAGAGTCGATTGCAATGGCAAGCTACAACGGCCGAAGCACAGCGCTTGCAACGCGAATTAGACAAGTGTTTGAGAGAACGTTCGGATTTTGAGACAAAATTATTTCATGCACGCCGATTATTGGAAACAGAAAGCAAAGCACGAAAAGCCGCCGAACTTGAACGTGATCATTTGGTAAATATAGCATTTGTTTACAAAAATCTATGCATTTCTATGTTATAAGTCAGAAAGAGAGCATGTTTAACTATTTGATGACTATTTATCGTACTTGATACAGGAAAAAAAATTGTCCAGAGCGTGTGAATATTTGCACACAGATCGTGAGATCAACGATGAAACACGTAACAAATTGGCATTTTTAAATATGTCATCGCGTAAACGGAAATCAAAATCGAATCGTTTCGTTGATGAGAATTATGGCAACGAAATCAATTCGACCGGTTCATTTTTATCGGATTTATCAGTAACAAAGTCGGAAGAAGATTTTCTTGAAATGTCAAAACCATTCAAAAAACATCGTCCATCGGTGAATGCCCCAACCACACCATATGCTGAAAGTAAGCATGCACGGCGTAGTGCACGAAGAAGCATGGATTTGCGTAACAAGAGTAAGTGTAAATCATTCGAGTGCTTTTACATCGAATTTTGAACACCGATTTTTTTCTTTGGCGTAGAAAATGCTAGCATAGTCGAAGTGAGTGGATCAGATAAAATTGTTGCAACGACAAAAGTGTCGATTCCGCAGGGAGATGGACCAATTCAAGCCACATCAACTATTGAGACTCCGTCATTGTATCCAAAAATCGATACAACCGAACAGCAATATTCGAAATGTAAGAAAAAAGCACCCGACACTCCATTGTTTACACCAACACGAAATTCAATGAAGTTACAAGAAGATTATCCAATGCCGAGCGCTCCTCCACTACAAGAAGTGACCAACAATCCGAAATTGTTGTTAAATTTACAAGGTCGCCAACATGAATTCTCAAGCCGGATGGTATTACGCTCGGAAAATTGTGCATATTGTTTGAAAAAGTGAGTGACACACTGATTTTCTTTATATTTCCCTTAAAAATGCGTGTTTAACATATGTTTCGTATGAATTCTCTTTGAATATTAGATTCAGTTTTGGTACATCAGCTTTGAAATGCCGTTTGTGCAGCGTGTATCTTCATCAAGATTGTAAGATTCAATTTGCAATGGCTTGCGTTCCAAAAAGCCAAGGAACACCGGGATTTAAAAATGGCAAGCAAGGCTATATCTCGGAATATGTACCACTGAATGAAGGTCCAATGCTTCCGCCACTGGTCGTATACTGTATAAATGAGGTTTGTTTAATGAAAATCAATGATGAAAATTCACTCTAAACGCTGGTTATTATTGTGCCATAGGTTGAAACACGCGGTCTTTCAGAAGAAGGAATTTATCGTGTATCGGGCTCAGAGAAGGAAGTCAAAGCACTCAAAGAACGATTTTTACGCGGCAAAACACCACCAATATTGTCAGGCATCGACATACACGTCATTTGTGGTTGCATTAAAGACTTTTTGCGAAGTCTACGGGAGCCACTAATTCCAACTAGTCTATGGAAGAATTTCTCAAATGCTGTCCAAACAGTCGATGAGGCAACTGCTGTTCGTGAATTATTTGCTGCAATCAATCAATTACCACAGGCTAACCGAGATACATTGGCATTCTTAGTCATGCACTTGCAACGGTATGTATATTGTTTGTTGGTGTTTTGCCAAGACATGATGTTAATTTTATTCCTTAAAACAGTGTCGCAAGTTGCAAAGCCATCAAAATGCCGACTGAAAATTTGGCAAAAATTTTCGGACCAACTGTAGTGGGCTACTCGTCGGCTGATCCTGATCAACATGCCATTTTCACCGAGACAATGATTCAGAAGGATGTAAGTAATCAACGAACGACAACATCATGACACTTTGGTGGCAAAATATTGAAATCAATGCGTTTTTTACTTTAGGTGATGCTTCACTTATTAGAAATTCCAACGGATTATTGGAATCGTTTCATTTTGGTCGATACTACTGACGACGAAAGTCAAAAAGTTTCGGGATATTCATTCTTTGGTAAGTGTGATTCAAAACATCAATCCTAACAAAATGAATTATTTTGTCGCTTTTATCTTCCGTCTAGGTACACCAAATGCTCGGCCATTAAATGCCACCATGCTGCGTAAGGAGCGAAAATTCTTTGCCACACCGCCATACAATACGACACGCCGACATTAAAAGATTCCTTTTTGAAAGAGAGAACACAGCATCAAAATATACTTAATCAAAACAAACAAAAAACATATTTTCAGTATTTTCGTATCTATGTTGTAAATGCGCCAAGGCACCAACTCACAATTTTAATTTTTAAGTTTCTTTTGTTCGTGTTACAGTGACATCCTTATCACTTAAAGAAAGCCTGTGTTTTTTGTATCCGCCACGTTATATAGAAATAGTTCCGTTTTTTTTGTGAATTTTTTATCGTATTAAAGAGTTACATATTATTCCAGTCTCGAATTTATTCAAAAAACTGAAAAAAATCTAAACGGAATATTCGGCTGATATTAAACAAAAAAATTAGAGTTAAATATACACAAAAAATATATTTCGAATTTCATATTATTATATTAATCGACAAATATTAGAATAAGAATAATCACGGTTAAAATAACGGCCAACCAGAACAAAAACCAGATTTTCCACTGAAAACAAATGAAAATGGTTTCAAAATGTATACAAATAAATGCACTTATATTCGATTGATTAGTGGTACCTTCATTCGTTTGATTTTCATTTCACGTGCTTTTTCGAGTTTTGCTGCACCCTTATCAATATTGAGGGTGGCTTGTTGCGCAAAGTATTCAACTTGCGATATCAGAGGGCTCTAAAAACAACACCACCACCATTCATTGAGATGAAGAACATCGTTTGATATAAAATAAATTGTACCTGTTCGATGACCAAAGCGGAAATTCTTAGAAACATGTCGCGTACTTCGATCAATGATCTCTCCACCTTCTCCAATTCGGAATGCCGTACGAGCAACTCGCGTAATTTGTTACGCTCTGTTTCGGTTTGTTCAAGGAGCTTGAAAGTGAAAAAAACGATTATTCATTAAACGTTAGAGATTCATTGATAAATTATTCTCAAACAAACTCACATTGCCAACAAAAAATGAACCAGTGTTATTTGCAGCAATTAATGCTTCGGTTTCCTCTTCCGTAATATATGCATCAACTTTAATAAAACGTCAAAGATTCATTTCTGTAATTTGTTTAATCCAAAATGTTGCAAAATATAATTATACCAATTTTTGCTTGACGCTGAATTGTCTTCTTTACACGTTCTTCATACTCGGCTAAAAATTGTTCGTGGCGCTTCCAAACGCCAATAAAGTCCTCTCGAACCGAATAAAAATGTAATCGTTTCACTCGAGCAATCACACTGGTGTCCTCGGACTTTGGCAAATCAATTTCGTGTTCTTTCATGTGAGAATAGACCCGTTGACATAGAGACATATTTTCCAATCGCAGCTTCTCCATATTTTCCGGCAACGCTGCAATTTTAAACGGCACGGGCCGAGATTTGTAAGTATGATAACGTGAGTTAAACAAAATGTGTGTAACTCATAGGGATCTATTTGATTGATTAATTGAATAGGTTCGGTCATGACATTGCATATACTTTCGTTGCATCTCTCTCTTCTCGCGTTTCTTCTAATATGTATTTTTTGTAAGCACGCACAAAGTAAAACAAAGCAGTATCATTCCTTATCTCGACATTCAATCTCAGGAGTGCGAAAGAGAAGAAGGGAAAATATGTGCAATGATTCAACCGAATAAGTTATTTTGAATTTTTTTCATTCAAAAAAAGAGTGATTAACTGCTATATAAAGAGTGCAATATAAACATATTGAACAAACATGACTCACATTTTTGTGACGATGATTGAAATGTTTGAGACATTTCACGTATGTATCCTTTCATTGTTTCGATGTTTTCCCGAATTATTTGGAGCCATTGTCTGATTGTTGTGTACTTTGAGAGAAAAAAAACAGCACCGAAATGTGAATTTAAATTGTACCAAATTGAAATTCTTTCAACAATGGCCTGTGCCAGAATAAAAAAAACCATGAACTCACTTCACTGAGAATATTTTCAATTTGTAATTCCACTTTGTTGGCTTTAATATCGATAACTGTGTCTCTCAAGTTATTTTGTTGGCTATTGCACAACTGAAAAATGAAACGAACGATTTTATTTTATTTTCAGTATATTCACTCATTTTTTTTATTTTACCCTTTTCAATTCCTCCATTCGATCTTTAACCATGGTTTGTTCTTATTTCGCGGAAAGCGTTGTTGTTGCGGTTTTTCGTGCGAACAAGTTATATCATCTAATTTACACTGACGCTCCCATTCGTCTGAGTATTTTGGTAAAGACTAAGTCAAGATAAGTATAAAACGACCTTTCAATTTGGAACAAATACATTAAATGAACAAGTGATAAAGAAGAAGTGTCACATGGAATAAATTGAGTGAAATGTGTTTATAAGTTGGATAAGGTACTTGTGATGATTAATTGTACGAAATGTGCGAGACAATACATGCGCAATTCAGTTACTGTTTTACTATCTCATCGCTCCAGTCTGTAGACAAAAAAAATATAACAGAAAGAACGATAAGTGCAAATAGTACACGTTATTCACACTTTTGCGGTGCCGGTGTACGAGATATGTGTGTGTTTTTTTAATATATTTGTTATCTCATACGTATATACACAATTCCACATATACAACGATCAATACCGATCACAACTGGAATCGTTTGCAGTACAAAAAGTGTCGTTGCGCCCTCGCATTTTATAATAACAAACGTTAAGTGTGCAAATGATTTTGTTCATTTTGCTCACTTGTATTTCTCAAGTTGAAAGACTTTTTAACAATTGACGCTTTCGGCGCAATGTAGGTGGAATTTGTGCCGGCTGTGCATTTCTCACTTTTCTAATAGCGACTTTTTGTCCTCAATGTATTTTGTGATCGCAATGAATTGTGTGAACACTTAACGTTTTTTTTTATTACCAGTCGTATTTTACACTAACAAAATGACGGTTTTAAATCAGAATTTAATTTGTTTTAGTCTGACTTTTGCTCTTCTAGTGTATTCTTTAGCTGTTATAAGACTGTTGTATCAAAAAAATCACATCCGTCCAATAAGCTGAATTTTCAATGACCAGCAATACAATAAATTTTGTTATATACTCGTTTTAATTAGCATCAATTAAAACCAATAACCACAACGTCGCATGATCGTTTATGTATACAATACGAAAATGGATCGGCAGTTTGTGGTACGATGTATTTATTAGTCCATATTTATAAAACATTGTTATTCTTTTAATTCAGGTCATGCAACATTTCTTGAATATTTCGATGGATTACTGCTTCAGTTTTATCAGTCAAAACTTATATATTACTTAGAGAAGAGATAGGTATCTAATGAAATCTACCTACCTAAAAGTTACCTTTTTTCGTTTTATTTTTATATTTTTAAACAAACAACTATTTCAAACAATAAGTTTATTTTTCAGATATAGAACCATTCATTCATCCTTTGCGTTATATTTTCAGACAACCGAAATAAAAAAGAAGTCACTATGACTTTTTTACACTTTTTTAAGACGTTACATAAAATGTTGGATTTAGAAAATCGATACCCTGGGCAAAATTATGAGGATGGCCAAAAAAGAGGTCGATTTTCCGAAAAAAAAAATCCAGGTATACTTCGAAACAAAATGTTGTACGCTTACCTACACTTTCTCTACACTTAATTTAAACCATAAATTTTGGAAAAAAATTATGTAGCAAAATGATCAGTACACAGCCACTATGACGCTAGGAAAAAATATTTTTTTGTTGCATTTTTACTAAATATGAATTGGATCAATAATTTTTAATTGTTATTGCATTTTTAGAGGGAATTTCCTCTACTTTAATTCAATGTTTACTTGGTAATTTTACCTTTTAAATTTTTACGAAATTATAAGAAAAAAGCATTTTTTGGTGTTTTCATTGCTTTCTAAAGAAAAATCAATATAAAATTTTCAAATATTTTGAAAAAAAAAGAAAATAAAAAAAATCCCACCATTTAAAATAATTCTCGATATAAACAACAACACATTCAAAAATATGGCGCGTATAAAATGAGTGAAATATTCGTGACGTAAAGTTGGTACGCCACATGCATTCAACTCAAATGTGTTCAAAATCAAAGGTGCAATATGATGCGTGCAGTTAGAGTATTGGAGTAGGCTTGCTTTCGGTTAGAGTTGGATTGGTGAACGGATATATATCCAAAACAGAAATAATAGCCGTTCGTTTTGTTTATAGACGATGTGTTTTTTGTTTGAATTGAAATAAATCGAAAAAAGTTGATTCAAAAAAAAGTTTGAAAGAAATAACTTCAAATTTATTAAAAATATAGTATGAGACGCTCCGTGTATAGAATTCCAATGCATTGAATGATTAGTGTACATGTGGAAATAATCTAAAATTTTCTTAAAATTGAAAACCAAAAGAATTAATTCGATCCATTTTGGTAAATACGAAGTGAAAAAAATAATAATAATAAAAAAAGAATGGAAATATCGTCGATAGTAGCAAATTTTGACGAATTACAACGATGTCAAGATGTTTTGACAGATGGTACAGCCGAAATTGGTACGATTTGGGAACTATTTGTTTAATTTGGCTCTTTTTCACATAAAACACGTTTGACATAAAAGTTTATAATTCAAAAAAATAAATTTCAAATCCAGAATTTCGTCGTTTCCTTCACATCATGGGTGAAAGTCGTATGCAATGGCAAGAAACAATTGCCGAGGCGCAACGTTTACAAAAGGAGCTGGATCGATTACAAAGAAAATACGATGACTGTATACAAGAGCGATTGGATTTTGAAACGAAATTGTTCCATGCTCGTCGATTGCTTGAGGCCGAGAGCAAGGCAAAGCGCCAATTGGTAAGAAAATTTCGATTGAAGGGTTAAAGCAACCCTCTCTCAACTCAATGACAGATGCGAAAAGGAGCCGATAATAACAAACAATTTGGTACATTTTTCTAGGAAGACAAACTCTCAACCGTGTGCGATTTCTTGCATACGGACCGAGGGCTAAACAATAATGTTCGTGACACATTGGCATCGTTGAATATGTCACACAAACGAGGATCCAGATCAAACCGATACGAAGATCGATATTGCAATGAGATCAATTCAACTGGGTCGTTTTTGTCAGACTTATCGATGACTCAGTTCGATGATGATTTTCTTGAAACGACAAAACCATTTAAAAAGCATTGTCCATCAACGACAACAACAAACATTTCATTCGTAGAGTCGAAACAAAGGCGCCGCAGTGCCAGACGGAGCATGGATTTATACAGCAAAAGTAAGTGTGTTCCGCTAATCTGATCTCTTCAAATATTTAAACCGTCATTTTTCTGCAGAAAACACAAGTATATTTGATCTAGATGAACCAGATCAACTGATAGCCACGGCTACAATAACAATACCACAAGATAATGGCCCGATTGAGGCCGTTTCAAAAATTGAGGCCGTTCCAAATGCAGCGCTTTATGAAAAATTCCGAAAGATTGATACCGAAAATCAAGCAAGTGAAAATTATCCCGAGATTGTGACGACAACTCCAACGAAGCAATCAATTGGATCATCAACGTTATCCATTGCATCGAAGCTATCGATTGACTCAAAGAAAACATTTGATTTGGCGAAAGATTCGCCCGTGCCGAGTGCACCACCATTGGAAGAGATTACCAATAGAAATGAAAAGCTATTGCCAAACATACCAGCTCGCCAGCATGAATTCAATAGTCGTACCATTATACGGTCGGAATCATGCGTCTATTGTCTGAAAAAGTGTGTGATAATCATAATTTGTGTGTAAAACATTGAATGTAACGGAAGTATATTTTGAATTTTAGATTACGTTTCGGAACATCAGCTCTGAAATGCCGTATGTGTAGCATATATCTTCACACCGACTGTAAGGCACACTATACAATCGCTTGTGTTCCGAAAAGTCATGATAAACACGGAAAACACGGTCATATATCAGATTATGTTCCGGCTGAAAATCCGATGATACCGCCACTTATTGTGCATTGCATCAGCGAGGTTTGTTTCATATGAAAACTTTCATTGCACTGAATAAATAATGATAATAATTAAATATTTTGATAGGTGGAATCGCGGGGTCTGTCGGAAAAGGGTATTTATCGTAGCATACTTACTTAAAAATTACTATTCCATTACTCTACAATTTCTGATCCATTCCTTTGATTCTTTTTCCATTCTTGTTCCATTACCTATTGATTAATTTCAATATTTTTCATTCTTTTCTTCTGATCATGCCTAGGTATTTATCGTGTATCTGGTTCAGAAAAGGAAATCAAATTACTCAAAGAACGAATATTACGTGGAAAATCAACGCTGAATTTATCCACTGTTGACATTCACGTAATTTGCGGATGCATCAAAGACTTTTTACGTGGCTTACGAGAGCCGCTTATTCCATCGAATCTCTGGAAAAACTTTTCGAATGCCGTCCAATCAATCGAAGAGAAAAAGATTGAACGACAACTCTATAATGCTATTGACCTATTACCGCAAGCCAATCGCGATACATTGGCATATCTTATCCTACATTTGCAAAGGTTCGTATCTGTTAAAATGTTGAGAGAGGCAGAGATGGTTTTTTTAATCATGATTTTTGGATTTTTGTAGAGTTGCCAATTCAAAAACGGTGCAAATGCCAATCGAAAATTTGGCAAAAATTTTCGGTCCGACTGTATTGGGATATTCATGTTCAGACATTGATCACCATGCTATTTTATCAGAGACAATGGTACAAAAAGACGTAAGTAGTGTTTTGAGAAGTTCATGAAATTCCATTTGATTCGAATGAAAATAAACCAAATATATTGAAACCATTAGGTAATGGAAAACTTATTAAAAATTCCTGCCAATTTCTGGGCTCGTTTTATCAATGCCGTATCAACCAGAGCAGACAGTCAAAAAGCAGGAAAATACTCATTCTTCGGTTATTTTCTTTTCCTTTCCATTTCAATTGAGCTGTTTCGTTCACTCACTAAAGTATGCTATTCTTTTAATTTTAGGTACACCGAACGCTCGACTATTGAATAGCACGATACGTAAAGAGCGAAAAATCTTTACAACACCACCATATTCATCAAGACGTTGAAAATTTATTTTTAAATTGAAAATTCATAATTGACTTCTACTAAATTTATTAGTATTTATACCAAAAAAGTAGTTTATAATGTGTTTGTATTTAAAATTATTGAAAACAGTGAATAAATGCACAAATAATGAATAAATATATATTAAATTTTTCCAATTGTTATGTACTCAATGTTCAATTGAAGACGTTATACATAAATATTAAGTCGGGATCGCTAACTTATTGCAGAAAATGCACTTTAATGGTTACATAAAGAATTATAAAAGCGAATGGCATCAATCAACTGTTTCCGAAATTCCACGCAATTGAATCAATTGATGTTAATTTAATGATAGTGAATTGTTGTTGTTATTTCATTGCTATGCGAGCGACGATGAAAGTGAATTGAAACACAAATAATACACATCAGTGAATTTACTATTTCATTTTCATTAAATGCTTTTAATTTTATTCATTTATTGTTTTGCTACCACGTAGCAAGCAACCAAAGTATTTTTTTTTAAACTCCCTGATTGAATTAAGAGACATGAAAAAATGTTGTCTTATTGTCAATAAGTTATTGATAATAGAGTCTTTTGAGTCAAAATTCGAAAATTTTGTATGGGGTGAGACTTGGTGAAATTATATATTTTGGTAAGAAAGTTTTTGCATACCATTTGATAAATCCGATAAATTTTGAGTCAACAAAATGCAATAAATGTATGTATGAAAACTTCACGAGATTTGTATAAAAGGCACCAAAAAGGTTGCATAGCAACCGATGCGTTCATAGTTTGTGGACGATAAACAATGATCCCTTGAATATTCATGTGTGCTGTAACAGTTACTGAATAATATTCGAGCTGCATAACTTGTATTACTGTTTAAAACCCAAAAATGGACTGGAATAAAAGAAACATACAAATTACGTTTTATAAAGACTATATGAAATATTTATCAAAAGCACAACATAAATTGGACGAAGACGATTGTGAAAGATTACAAAAGCCATTGTTATTGTCACATTTTGAAAAATCAGCATTAGTGTCTGTGTTGAAAGAAACAATCTCGAAAATAGTTGTTGTAAATAGTGGTTCCGATGGAAAAATCGTTGAGCTACCGACTTCCAAGCCGCCGATGCACGTTCGATTCAACAAGCCAATTCTCGATAGATTTTATAACGAGGAAACATTGGAACCGCTTCGGGAGTGCTTCAAAGCAATGTCAATTAGTAAACTCGAATCCGATATTGAAGTCATTCGTTTTGCCTTGGAAATGTGTTGCAAAGACATAGAGAATGGTGCTTTTCGAAATTTTGCTGAATTTATTTTCAGTGAAAATCGTGAAGCATATGATGAATATAGTTTATTGAAAGCCTACTGTGAAAACATTGAAAAATTGGAAGAGTTACACAAAGAGCTTAAGCATAATCGTAAAAAAAATGAAGATCTCATTTTGAAGTTGGATGAAGATTTGTTCAATTTGAAAACGGAATGTGAGAACCGAGAAAAAACAAATCGCTTCGAAGCGAATATGGTGAAAAAATGGGAAAATGCTCGTCAAGAGCAAGTAGATGCAGTTTTTAACCATGAACTCAAAACTTTGTATCAGTCTCGTGATGATTATGAAGAGAAGACGGTATGACACTGGTGTTGATATTTTTTTTTTTTTTTTTCAGTCTTGAGTACTTTTTTTCATATTGTCGAGTAGTAGTGATATAAAATAATCATATCATGGTTTATATCTTTGCTAACCCATTAAGAAAATTCGTTTTTATTGTTGGATAGGAACGCGAGTTGGTCGTTATCAATGAAATTCTTGCATTTTATCGGGCAAAATGCACGAAATTGGAAGATTCAATCAAATCATGGCAACAAAGATACGAAACCGAACGAATAGAACTGGACGAACAAATAAAGCATACCGAAGATAACATTGAAGATGTTAAATCCAAATATGAATTGATTCGCCATCAATACGAAGAAAGAGCAAAATTTATTGAGGAGTATTACATTGAACAGAAACAATTAGAGGAAATCAGAAAAATGGAAGCAAGCAAACAAAAAGCAGCTACAAAAATTCAAGCTTGGTGGCGTGGAACAATGGTTCGCAAACAATTGGGACCATATCGACCGAAGAAAAAGAGCAAAAAACCAAAAGCCGCAAAAAAGAAATAAAAACATTTTTATTGTAAAATCAGCGTGACATACTTATATTAAATTAATAAAGAATTGACCCAAAATAATGGTGGATAATTGTAATTCTTCATCATTGGGGTGTGCCAGCTAAAATTAAAGCGTTTTTCACTTCCTCCTCATTCATAGTTTGAATCATGGTGATATTGTGTTTGTTTCGACGGTTGTGATCCAAAACGACTTGCCCCCGAGTATGTGCTCCTTGCAATTCAATTGTGGCATGGTATTGTCGTTTTGTGAGTATACATTTTTCGGGAAATAAAAATGCCGCTGTCAAATAAGCATCACACGGTGCGAAAGAATCACAGTCTTTATATGCAATTTCATCTATTTCATTGAACAATGCCACGTTCTTACATTTAACGTGTTCAAATGTTTTGAATCTCCATTCCTAAAAGGAAAAACAACTTATTAGCTTACTATTTCTAGTAGATATGCGTTAAAATTGATGACATTTTTCTTACTGTCGATATTAAGAGATTTTCTTCAAGACAACATTCCCAAGGAAGAATAATAATGGGACAGGTTACTGTTTCCAGTACGATATGGACAGCTTCTGGGTCAATGTAAAAATTGAATTCAGCACACGATGTTGTATTTCCAACTCCTTAAAGTATAGCCACATTTTTAAATCTATTAGCTATTCCACATAAACCACATTTGAGAACGACATCGAACTGACCTTGAAAATTTCCGCCCATTATGAAAATTTCACAAATTTTGTCTCTGATTTCTGGATAAGTTTTAACAGCCAATGCTATATTGGTTAATGGCGCGAGGCAAATAAGTGATATTTTGTGTGGATGCTTTGAATACAAGAAGAAAATTAATTGTATTTTGATATGGTTCTCAATTATGATAGATGAACTAACCTCTAATATCAAATCTCTGATGATTTCAACAGCATGTTTCGGTTGAACCAACGTTTTTACGTCACTGGGATAAACATTTGTATCCCAAAAATCAACGTCACAAAATCCATTTCCACCGTACCATGTTCCTCTCTTCAGCTCCCCTGGAATTAATGCCTCTGTTGCGCCTTTGTAAATTGGAATCTAAAAATCAATGGGTTTCAATCATTTCAATTTAACGTATAAAACAGATATTAACTTACGTCAGTGCGATCAAGGCCGTCCAAGATACGGTATGTGTTTTTAATCGAATTTTCAACCGTTGTATTGCCATTCACTATTGTAATTGCCAACACTTTTACATTTTTTAAATGTTTTTCTGCTTTCAGTAGCATTTGCAGCGCCCAGGCGTCGTCAGCACCCATATCTGTTTCAAATACAACATATTTTTCTGTTGTTTCCGTCGTCATTTTAACGTGATATTGACTTGAATGATTCACAAACACTGCATAAACCGCGATAGAATATTTGAGTTTACAAATAAGTTGTTCAACTACAGCTATAAATATAATGAAATAATCAGAGTTCTTATTTAACGGCAATGTATCGATAACTCCACAACTCCAACAAAACGTATGATTAAATTTGATGGGGCATATGCATATTGCACTCACATAAAAAAGAATAAGTAAGTTGTAAAAAATGAACACAAAAAAGATGTAAATGTGTGTATTATCTTTGGTGATTTGCCTCTTGATGTGTGTAATATATCAGTGGCTGTTCACCTTTTGCTTGGGACATTTTAAATGCCCTATATTATTTTGATCTTTGAGACAATACAGAGTGCCTGATATCTTTGTAAATGCTCAACTCTTTTTCTTTCGTCTGATACACGCTACATTTGTATTTAAAAATAACTTTCAAAAGACCTTTTTAAATATGAATCATCAATTAATTAGTCAAACAAGTGATTTTCTGAAGCTTTTTGTTCACAGATTACAGAATTTATTATATTTTCGAACTTTGCAAACAATAAAAAATTGTGTAGTGAAAATTCTCACATATGATACACTGAGTATTTCTTTAATCTGCCTTGTTTCGCAGATCGTATGAAACTAACTTACTGCTTATGACGTCTGGTTATATTGAGTTAATTCGATAATGAGCATGTTGATATGCGTTCTGACAAATTAAATAAAGCTCAAGCGTTGTATTATTTCACAGATTATAATCCCTTCTGGATTTTTGATAAAAATTTTGATATCGAATTTTGAAATTGTTATAGTGTCTTCATGTAATTTCTTTAAGTCTGATTCGATTTATTTTCGTATTTTGAATGCAAACATTTGGATGATAAAAATAGAACAATTTATATGATATAAACGAGTTAATAGCTCGAGTCAAAGTCGCCAAAGAATTCACAACAACAGTATAAAAAAATTATCATAAAATAGATTTTATTCGTTAGTTTACAATTTGTCAAAAAGTAAGATGACGTCACTGTCTCTTATAAGCTATTTGACGGTAAACAGAAGAGAATTTTTTATTTCATCTTCGTGCACAGTTTCAATGACGGTGACGTTGTATTCATTAATTTGTCTATGATCTAATATCATTTGTCCACGAGTATGAAGTCCTTGTAGTTCAATCGTTGCGTGGAACTGTTTTTTGCTTCGTATGCATTTTTCCGGAAATAGAAAGACTGCCGTCAAATATGCATCGCATGGCATAAAACAGTCACCGTCTTTGTATGCAATTTGATCAAATTTATTCATTAGTTCTATATTTTTGCAGTTGACGTTTTCCAAATTTTTGAATCTCCATTCCTGCGAAAATCGAACAATCGAGTGAATATTATCGAAATGGTTTTAAATCAGTTATAATCTCCGCACCTTCGATATAAAGAGACTATCTTCAAGGCAACATTCCCAAGGAAGAACAGTCATCGGACACTTAAGTGTAGCAAAAACAATGTGTACCGCTTCTGGATCCACGTAAAAATTGAATTCAGCGGATGATGTTGTGTTTCCTATTCCTGAAAGTACGTTCAAAATCGATTACAACAACAACATATAAGCATTGTGTTTTTCGCTTTCTAACCTTTAATATTGCCACCCATTATATAAATCTCAAAAATTTTGTCCCTGATCTCTGGATAAGTTTTGATGGCCAATGCTATATTGGTTAATGGCGCGAGGCAAATAAGTGATATTTTGTGTGGATGCTTTGAATACAAGAAGAAAATTAATTGTATTTTGATATGGTTCTCAATTATGACAGATGAACTAACCTCTAATATCAGATCTCTGATGATTTCAACAGCATGTTTCGGTTGAACCAACGTATTAACGTCACTGGGATAAACATTTGTATCCCAAAAATCAACGTCAGAAAAACCATTATTACCGTTGAACTTTACTATATTTAGTTCAACCGGAATTAGTGCTTCTGTCGCTCCTTTGTAAATTGGAATCTATAAAAAATGCTTTCAATAAATCGATCTCAATTGATTGATTGAAATAAATCGGCTTACATCGGTTCGATCTAGACCATCCAAAATTCGGTACGTGTTTTTTATTACATTTTCAACTGTTGTGTTTCCATGTGAAACTGTAATCGCAAGTATTTTTACGTTTTTTAAATGTGTTTCGGCTTTTAGCATCATTTGTAGGGCCCAAGCATCATCGGTGCCCATATCTGTATCAAATATTACGAGTTTTTCCATAACTTCAATTTATTTACACCTTTTCAGTAACGTGCGATTTCTATACTGAAAATATACAACAATAATTTGATATTTTAACTTAACTATTTTAATTATTTATTCATGCTTTGATTCTAAACCTAATTGTTAGTCACGTATCACGAAAATATATATTTTATGATGACATTTATTTTGATTAATATCAGTTTTTGCATAAGAAGAAGCAATCTCTCTATTCAGTTTCTATAAAAAAAATATACACTTTATTCTTTTTCCAATATTTTATGCCACTTGTTTTTTTTTACCTGTTTTAATGCCAACGTTTCAAACTAATGTAAGTGACAAATGATCTGTCACACCACTAATTGAATTTAATACGTTAGAGATCATAAATATGTTAACTAATAATAAATGTCATCTAATCTATATCAATAAGTTATGATACAAGTGGTCGTGAATTTCAATCATGAAAACTGTAAAAAAGTCTTAAAACATGTGCTCACGAAATGAAATAAAGGGAGAGATAAGCAAAAAAAAATATCCTTTAGAATTAGGTAAGGCAGTAGATCAAATTACAAGTTAACAGCTGGTTTTGTTGACAAACATAGGTCTTATCTGTTACCGTGAAAATACTTCATTTCATGGGCAAATTCACTAGATTTGGAACAAGATTTACATTTTCTAGAACAAACATTTGATAATTGATTGAAAATATGAATGTAATTATTTTCCTTTGTATATTTACGAATATATATGTCATGATCATACGGTATCATTGATTCATACCGATGTTTTTATTAAAATATTTTGTCTATATCAATTGAATGCATCGAAATAAATGCGCCTTACTCGTGAGTAACGATTTTTTTTATTTTTATTGTGATGGAAACGTTCTTCGTTCAATGTTCAGATGTTGTTTGTAAATTTTTGACTATTTTAAAATAGACCAGAGTCGTTTAGATTTTGGAAAAACAATAATTTCTTCTACTTCAAAGCCGAAAGAAATCACTCGAAAGCGTCGAAAAATGTAAACAATAAAGTTAAAATGGTTATTCGAATGTAACGAAAACGCACACTCACTTTGACTTATATCGATTCAATTTGGTTGAAATATGGCAACACTATCGCATCAATACGCACTGTCTTTGACGGCGATATGTTCCGAAAAGAGAATAAGAGTGGTTGTTTAGTATTTAATAAAAGTGACATTGAATTTGCGTTCGGCTCATGACATCCAATGTCAACGACACACAAAATATATAATTGGGTCAAATGAACAAATTTAAAGAGAATCTACCTACCAAAACTGGGACCGTGAAAATAATTTAAAAGAAAAAAAATTGTTTGACAATAGACATTTTAAATGAATATCCATACAAACATGGAGTAGTTCAATGTGTGTGCGTTTTGAGTTCGAACAAATTTTGATTGTAACATTTCATTCCAATTATAGCTACGTTCACTTTTAGTTTCGTTTCTCGATTTTATTTTCTTATGATTTTTTATTTGTTTGTGTTGGCCAGCCAGCCCAGTGGTTAACATCTATTATTATCGATACTTAACAAATAACTAATTGAGTGGATCGATTGAAGTGAACGTGTATGTTTGCTGAGCTATTTAATTTTGTTGCGGGCATCACTTTATTTTTATTTGTGATCCATTACCTTTGTTATATCGTTCAAACGTTATCGATAAATCCAAGCACTGCCGAGTCAACAAATAGTAGTGATTGCATCGCAACCGATAAACAACGTGAAAATTTTGCTTCAAAATCGACTCGGTCTATTGCAATGCAGTCAGAAGATGCAAAATATATCAAAAAGTAAGTGAAAGACATCTGGATGTTGTTTGTTTTCAAAATCTCTATTTTGCTAAAACGAAAATTTACATTTTCAGACGTTTGAAAGGCGGGAGTATTGAACCACATCCATCTGAAAATGCCATAATCATCAACTATACGCTAGAGGCAACCGTGTTCAATGAGCCTGGTGATGCGATGTTAGAAAAATCAAAGGTACATTGCAGTATTTACATTTCGCAATGATGTTGTTTTTTTCTAGTGTTTGTTTTCATTGGCACAAATTATCTTCGGTCTCGCAATGAGCCGTGCGTTAATTTGCAGTGGTCATACAGTATTCACACAGTATGTGCGCGCGTTGTAGTGTTTTGTGTATATTGCATACAGTGAAACATACATAGGTCGTAGTGGAACAGTTGTGACATTTGGCAAGAGTTGAGTGCAAGTGTTTTTTTATTGATTTTTCTCGCTCGTATCGTAGCAGTTCAGCAACTGTTCTACACTCAAACGCAGTCATTCTGTGCTGTATTGTGACTCATTTCACATCGAACCACAACAAATAATTTATTCATTTGGTTTTGTGAGCATATTTTTGTTAGAGTTGACAATAAAAACAAATTCTCAAGCAATTTATCCAAAAATATCCGTCAATAATAACGGCAATCCATTTTTTATGTGTTTTTTTTTTCAAATACAGAATTGTCAGCGTATATTACGATTGCCAACACTTAATTCACGTTGCGATCCAACTGCTTTGGCCAAAGAAATCGTTGAAAAATGTGACATTATCCATAAATCGCAGTTAGCTGAAGTTCAACAAATCATTTACTATTTAAAAAAACGCAGCGAAAGCGGTAAATTGACCAATTTCAGATGAGATATAATTTTGTATCCATTCACCATAATTGAGTGTATCGATTTTTTTTGTACATATGTGTGTATGTGTGTATTTTTGCAGACGGATTTGACGTTATGAACAAAAGTGCTGGTTCACTAAAGCAGTCACGCCTTAAATCAGCGTACGGTTCGGCTAACTCAATAAAAGATGCATCGCCCGCCGAACCAGAAAAAGCATCCATTCGAAAAATTGACGAATATGTCGATCTACTGTATGAAGACTTATCGGATCGAATTCGTGGATCAGCGTTAATTTTACAATTGGCACGAGTTCCGGATAACCTTGAGGAATTACAAAAAAATGGTGCGCAATTGCCACTCCCCTCAAGTTTACATTGTAATTAATTTTGTTTAATTTTTTTTGTCATTACAGAGGCTGTTTTAAGTGCATTGTCTCGCGTTTTACGTGAGGATTGGCGAAAAAGTCTGGATTTATCCACCAATATTGTTTTTACTTTCTTTTGTTTTTCCACTTACTCACAGTTTCACAATGTTATAACTCAATATAAGGTGAGTTTGTAACATGCAAACTTTTATATATATATTTTTAAACTCAAACAAGTTACGTCACTCTGTTATGTACGAAATAATTAAACATGCACGCTTTATTTTTCAGATTGGATCTTTGTGCATGGATGTAATTGACTGTGAATTGAAACGATACGACACAATGCAATCAGATTTGGAGAACTTCAAGAAATCTTTTGACAATTTGAATGCAGCTGCAAAAGACCAAAGTAAAAGTTTTGATGATTTGGATCTCGTCAACGAGGAGAAACCAAAAGAGGTAATACTATTTCGACAAAAAAAAATGTTCGAGTCATTTGATTTTATTCATTTTTTTTGTCAGATGGAACCACCACGTCGACGAATCCCAGAGTTGAAACAACGTCCAAAGTCAGGAAATTGGTCAAATCAATCGATAAGTATGACTTCTTCTCTACTCCGAAGTCATACTCTGAATAACAGTTACCATGATCGTCTATCCACGTCAATGTTGAGTCCAACAAGTGACAATGGCGACATTCAAAACGATCCGAAACGAAACAAAGACGAATTTGATCGACGTAATAAGCAGTTGCGTGTGTTTGCAAAAAAGCAGGAGCAATTGATTCGTGTTGCATTTTATTTATTATTAAATATCGCCGAGAATACAGCATTTGAGGAGAAAATGTGCCGTAAAAGTATAATTCGAATGTTGGTGAAAACATTGGATCGACAAAGTGTTGAATTGCTTATGCTGGTCGTTACATTTTTGAAAAAACTCTCCATCATTCGTGACAACAAAGACGAAATGAATCGAATGGATATTGTTACAAAATTTCCAAGGATATTACAAAGTACCGACACCGAATTACTGCATGTAACTCTTCGACTTATATTCAATTTGTCGTTTGATGCTTCGCTTCGATCGCAAATGATTCGAATTGGTCTGTTGCCGAAAATGGTGACCTTCTTGAGCGACGAAAAACACCATGAAATTTCTGCAAAAATCTTGTATCACTTTAGTGTGGACGATAAAGTTAAATCAATGTTTACATACACTGAAGCAGTTCCACTGGCCATTGATATGTTGCTTTTGAATTTGAATCCAAAAGTTGATATGGATTTGAGTGCATTGTGCATAAATCTAGCGCTGAATAAACGAAACGCGACACTAATGGTTGAAAATAATCGTTTGCACACAATAATGTCGCGTGCGTTCAAGTATCAAGATTCACTTTTGATGAAATTGGTTCGGAACATCTCCCAGCATGAATCTCTTCGTAGCCATTTTGTGGTAGGTTTTTTTTCATCAATAATCAATATTCTATGTTAGTTTTTCAAACAAGATGTCTAATGTTAACTTTTAAAATAGGATTTCGTCGGCGATTTGGCTCAAATGCTGACAATATGCGAAGAACAAAAGTTCACAATTGAATGCCTGGGCATTTTGGGCAATTTATCGTTGCCTGATTTGGATTATTCTGCCATCATTCAAAACTTTGATCTCATTCAATGGATAAAAAAAGTTCTCACTCCGGGCAACAAGACTGATGATCTTGTATTGGACACAGTTGTATTTTTGGGCACATGTGCTTGCGATGAAGCGTGTGCAATGTTACTTTGTCGATCCGATATTGCTTTGGCTTTGATCGAACTATTGAAGGCCAAACAAGAGGATGACGAAATGGTGCTTCAAATTATTTTCGTCTTTCAACAAATTCTTCGCAATGAAAGTACACGAGACTATATGATTAAAGAGACCCAAGCGCCAGCCTATTTGATTGATTTGATGCACGATACAAATCCAGAGATACGTAAAGTTTGCGATTACTGTTTAGATGTGATCGCGGCCACCAATTCAGAATGGGCAACTCGCATCAAATTGGAGAAGTTCCGTAATTACAATTCTCAGTGGCTTGAAATGGTGCAACAGCATCAAGAAGAAAGTGATATGGATACATTCTACGATCCAATGGACGCTGACGATGACAATGATTTGCCAGCCTACTTGCCCGCAGACTTCATTTACCAAGCGCAACAACGTGCACAATCTGATGATGCCACGTCTACCAATTCTTCGGCAAATTTTATCAACAGTCGACCTGTTAGTCGGTAAGTTCTTTTTTTGCCGATTTGAATGGCGGCGAAAATGTTGATTTTTTCAAATAAAAAACATTAAATTAATTGAATATTTTCGATGCAATATAGGTACAGCAGAGATTTTGATGATTATGATCCGATGGATTCGAGCACAAAAAGCCGTGATGAAATAGACAAACCCGAATTGATTACATCGAAAAATATTCGAGCTGATTCGGGTGATGTTGAAGTACTTACGGAATTGGAATAGACATGAATTTTCTATATACGCGCAATCGAATTTGGAACAGTAAAGTTACCATTCACTCAATACAGTACACGTGAGGAACGTTTTTTTAATAAAGAAAAAAAAAATCTAAAAATTGCTTTTGAAAAGATAGAAGCGTACAACTTGCTTACATAGTGCATTCCAAAATAATTAATTGTACAACAGACATTATTGTATTTAACAATCAAATCAATTTACTATTTATTTTCATTTTTTCTTCGAAATTTGATTGTGTTTTATTTATTTTAATTCCAAGTTATGTGGTAATTTCACAATTGCAATAGACTTTTAAGTTCTAATTTTCGTTTGAACCTTGATGGTTTTATTTCTAGTCTTTCACTTTATGTGATATTTATCTAAAACAATGTTTTTTTTTAAAGAAAACTTCTGTTATTTTAATTTTAAGCTAGCATTTCAATGGTTTAATTTGACACATTTTTTCTGGAATTTGTATACAATATTCAATAAAACGCTATTCGATTCTTATAAACTAAAAATGGTGTTTTTTTCTTCTTCTTTTTTTAAATTGAGATTTATTTGAGATCATGATCATCAGTGTCCGGTATTTCGGCCAATGCTTTTCCCAAACTGTCGTTAATTCTCGTTTGAATATCATCAGCCATCAAACCAATGGTTTCATCCAATTTTGCCAAATTCATTTTTTTCGTCTCAAATTGTTTTTGGTATGTTTCCAGTTTTTCGATGTCATCGAGAAATTTTTCAAATTTGTCCCACCATTCTTCCAATTGTTGTTCACTCCCCGACTCCTTGCGATCGCGTTTCGTGATTTTCGTTGAATCCAAAACACTTTTAGAAGCGTCAAATGTTGAAAGTTCCCCCAAAAAATTGCTGTCTTTTCGACGTGTTCGATTCATGTGATTCGTGTTAAATGTTTCCAAATCCTCTAAAATCTCGGTCTTTGTCGGTGGTTTTGGTGGATTACCATCCAACTTTGATTTTCTTCGGAACATTTTCGATTTATTTTGAAGATTTACCAAACAAATTTAAGAAAGTTGAGTTTTTCAAAACAAACACACACAAATTTTGTAATATTGTTCAAGTTTTATTTTGACAATTATTGATGATGTTGACAGTTTTCAGAAACGTCACTTACTGAACGTTTATAAGGGAAAAAACACTCATTTCTCAAATTGAGTGAAAATTTCAAATGGAGAAAATTATTAATAACGTTTTTCTTCACTGCAAGAACATTATTTTCTAATAATAACTTTTTTTTTTGGTGTAATAACTCAACAAATCAAATATTAAACAACAAAAAAACAACAATAAATAAATAAATGTTAACTTAAAATTGATAACAACAAATTATTCAATCATATGAATTTAGTTTTCTTCGCTGGTTTTGAATATTTTATGCAACTTCTTGATACTTTCCTTTGCACGATTGGTTAGGTAGCCATCTACATGCCCGGCAATTGTTACTCCATGCATAATTTTCTCGAGAGTTTTGCTAAACTTTTCTGCTTTTTCGGCACTGCTCATTGCTCGATACCGTTCAAGGAGTCTCGGCCGTTTGGTTGTCGTTGTCTCTGCTAACGAGTCGAATGGTTTTGGTGTCACAAAAATGTCTTCTTCTTTAGTTGCACGTTTGGCGTGCTTTTTACTACGTGTACCCGGTGCACGGAACATTTGTGCGAGAGGAACCAATGGACCTGCTATAAGGCCAGGTCTGAGAGGAACTGATTGTGGCAAAGCTGGTATTTGCGGTAGTTGTGGTAGTGCTGGCAATTGTGGTAATTGAGCTTCGGCCTGACGTGCACTATCATTTACACCTAACAGAATTCGACTGAGCAATGGATGACCTTGATTCTGTAGAAGTCTCATAAGATTGGTTCTGGCATTTTCAAGGGGATCGGCGCTTTGTTGTGGTGCAATTGGCATTGCTGAATTCGCTCCTGACGATGAATCGGCTGCACCTGAAGATGATGCTTGGCCAGCAGCTCCTTGGTTTATTTGGGATACTGCCTGATTAATTCTAGCCGCAATTCGTTGACCCAAAGCTGATTGTCCTGCTGCCGAATTTGCTCCTTGCGAAGAAGATGCATCACTTGAAAAATCGGCCATTCCGGAAGATGATGCTTGGTCTG